AGCGTCGTTTTTCTTCTCTGATGGGATCGTGTAAGCTCTTGCGATAGATAGGAGACCTGAGGAGCAGGCAGTCTTCAAAGATTATTACACTGAATGTGAAATGCTTTGGAAAGAATGTGCCAATAAGACTGTGGTATCATTGCTGTGGCTCTGACGGGTATGTTTAATACCCAGGAGGTACTTGAGGCATAAGCAAAAACCTAAAAGGCTTGTGACATAGCAGCCTGCTGTGACTCAAAAAGGTTATATAAAATGATTAAAAGGAAAAAAAGAGCACTGCCTGCCCTGGAGTCACACGTGCACTAGGCTATGGAGGTGACCGAAGACACGCTGAATTTGGTACCAGGATTAGAGCAATCATCTCTGCAAATAACTGTCTGCAGGCTGCAGCCATCCCATGGTCCATACCGTCGCTCTGGAGGAGCTAAACTGAACTTTGGTCTTTTTCAGGAGATACGCGTGGAGATTTGCACTTGAAATTAAACTACCACATGAATAAGAGCAGCTTTTTAAGCAGGCCAGGAAAGTTCTTGAAACAGAAATCTTTCTTTAGATAATTAAGTCTGCAACTAAATGAGATTGCAAATTCCCTGAAGCATTCTGCTCCCCCGAGGTGAAACAGGCTGTGCAATGTGGAGACATCAAGGTTGCATCCAGACAAATTAGCTCAAATATCACAAGTGGGATCATTGCCTTAGTATGGTCGTAACTGCACTTTGGCTTGCTGCTTGGTGGTGGAGTGGAGTTGGACATGCAAGGCTGAAGCGTTTCTGCATGGTAATTAACATTCATCCTCATGAAAAACAGTTTACTGATTTAAATGTCTTACAAATGCTTGGGCAAATAAATACAAAATCTGTGAAGGCATCAGATAAGGAGAGATCTGGAGGAATAACCTATTCCCCATACTGAGAAGTCCATAATGGATCATGAAGTTAAGAGCACTCTACATCTTTAAAATCTGAAGAGGCACAAGAGTTTAAAAAAAGTTATTTGCTTACTTCTCATCTATGGTTAGGAGCAAAAAGGGAAGGTGGCTGTGACTGGAAGTCTGGGGCTGGAGCTCCATTCCTGCCAGCTCAAGCTTGGCTTGGCTTCCAAAGGGAACAGAGCTCATGCCACTGCACAGACGAACAATTTTCCCCTAATAACTGTGGGATTTCTTGTCCAGTTCCAAATGATATGATAGAGGGATAGGCCATCTCAGAGAGATGCAGTTACAACACATTTCATGAAAATAGCACCTAGACAGAGGAGAGAAGTCCTGTGCATGTCCCCACTGGGAAAAAAAGCCCCGGTTTAGGCATGAGAAAATTTGAGTGCAGCAAATGTGCAGGAGTCGGAGATGTTATGAAAGCCACAGATGTGGGCAAAGAGATGGTACCCGACGGCCAGCCCTGCCGTGCAGCACACAAGTACAGAAGACCTCTATGTGCTGTCTTGCACACAGACCTGGCTCTTCTTCATTGTTCAACCCCTTGTATCCTTCTCCCTGCTTCTTTGCAACCTGGCTTTACCAGTGCTGGCCTAACTCCCCAGCCCCTGGATCATCCCTTCTGCAGCATTTCAGAGCAGTGGGCAGAGCTGAGACTTTGCGGCCATGCCACTGTGCTGTCCTCGGGTCCCCTTGCAGGACCTGAGTTTCTCCTGAAAGATGGAGAAAAGACGTTTAGTTTTCAGATGGCAGCAGCATGGAGTTAGAGGCAGTTCTTTGACCCAAGCTCTGAATTTTTTTTTTCCTACTAACTTTTAGAAAATTTACTCTTGACCTCATTGTAATCTTCTTTTTTTCTTTCTTTCTTTCTCCCCCCCTCCTTTTTTTACCTTTTTTCTTTTCTTTTTTTTTGGTTTTTCTTTTTTCTTTTTTTTCCCTTTTTTTTTCTTTCTTTTTTTCCTACAGAAATTATGGGCATTTTGTCTTCCTCCCAACTCCTACATGTATGGATTGTCAGAGAAGCTTTTATTTTTTTTCCTGACTCAAATCAGGCAGCAGAAGCACTGCCCCATGATTTGCCCTGCCCTGTCAAAACAAGCCCGCTTGTCTCTGGCAGTAAGTCCCCGCAGACCTAAAGTCTGATGAAAATTAAGGTCTTTAATGGATCTGGGAACACCCTATGAGCAAAAGTAACATTAAATCCTGTGAGCTGCAGAGTGGTGCTCAGGGCTATATTAATGGCTAAGTTTAGAGGCTGAATCCAGTGTAAAATGGCTTTTGGTCTGTAGTGAAAACAGAAGCAGGGAATAGCTGGTGATTTGCTACTGCCTGGATTTCTGCCTCTATATGGAGACAAACTGTTTTTTAAAAGTGCTTTTCGGTAGTAATCTTGTGGCTTTATTGAGGCATTTGAGGTGTTTTCTTACCTGCCCCACAGGAGATGTCTTTACCAGAGCCCTGGTACCATACTCCTGAGGGCTCAGTCAATACCTGACTCCCCTCTCCACAGACCAGTGGCTGATGCCAAACATTCAATGCAAAAGAGCAGGACTTTCCAAAACTACACACAAACCTGAACTGTGCCATGTAAGTAAAAATTTTTATATTAAAATGTCTAATGTTCAGAAGGCTTCAAGGATGAGCGTTATAGTGGGAGCCAGCAGGCATTAGCCTTTCAGCCCTCCTGGAAATCAGCTGTGTACACTTTAAATTCAACAGTGAACCTGAAGGACAAATAATTACATGGTAGTTGCTGTGTAGAAACCAGGTTTCCTGCAAAATTCTCTCTGATTTGCATGAGCTATGAAAGCCTTTTTCTAGGCTTCAGAAGAAGAGATGTAAGACTTCCATCTAGTGGCTCTTTTGTTTGATTTAATTCTCCTAATAATCAACAGCTGGCTACAAACATGCAGCATTAGTGAGATGGATCCACAGCCACTTTGCTGACACATGTACTAAAACGCATGAGGCAGCAGTTCAGGATAAACACCCTTCTTTGTGTAGATTGGAAATTAGAGGGCTTGCAATGCTGCAAGCACTTGGACTTTGCCTCCTCTACTTGTAAAGCAGAAGGTAATGCTGTCCTGCCTCACAGGCCTTCCAGGAGGCTTAATTCATTGATGTACATGTGGCACTTAAACTGCCAAGATGCAAAGTATTATAAAAATGCAGATTTTGTTACTAATAATAGCTCTTTTAAGTCACATATTTTCTTTCAACACTTGCATCTGTGATGCACGTACACCTTTTGAACATGATTTTTTCAGCACTTGAATTAACACTGAATATTTGTAGTATAAAACATCTTAACTATAAAGCAGCAACGATTTCCTTTGATTTCACTCGCATTTTATGGATGTGAAATGCAATTTTAATATTTAGGAAAAAAAATCTTACCAAATCTGCATCAACGAAGTGGCCCGTTTACTGGGTTATGACTGGCAACAAGGAAAACCAGCTGCTTCAAGGGAGTTTGCAGACTCCAGCCTTGATAAAGGGTGATGTGGCACGGACACTTATGGGGAGAACTCATCCCTGGTGACAGGCAACTTTTGATTTTTAACAGAGATCTGACGAAGTTTGGCATTGCACGATTTACTATGCCTTTCAAATTCTTACCTGTGCATTATCAATAGCTTTGTATAGTTTTGCTGTTCTTACAAATGCCTAAATTCTTTCTGAATGCTGCTGAATTTGTGGCCTCAGGTGTGACCTGTAATAATGAATCTCATGGTTTAATTATTCATGTAATGGAAAATTATCTGGCTTTTAAGTTCACTTCAATGAAAGCAAATCATGCCTCTGTGGAGGAAGATCAGAAGATGCTGGTCTAGTCTTCTGCAAACAAAAAGGAATGGTTTCTACCAGCCCATTGCCTCTAACACATCGTAATTTGCAGCTAAATGAGGCTGAAAGCATGCAACTCGGTGCCTGCTGCTCAGATGCCAAGCAGTAAACTCATAAATGCTTTTTGGTTATGTTTTCTGTGTTGAGCCCCTTCTCAGAGCCTGAAGGAGGAAAACTCACAGGCAGCAAGAGTGGCACTTGGTGCATCGCCTTGGGAAAGGTAATACTTGGAGAGAGGCTGGGAAGATTGATGGGCCCTTTGCTGATTCCTGCTCCATCCAAGAAAACATGACCTCATTTATGCATTGAATGTTTTATAAGAAAACAGGATTGCATTAAAAAATGCCGAGTTCTCAAAGCAGAAGATAACTCTTACAGAAACGATCTGTAAAACCTGTACCATAGCCTAAGCACAAGGAGAAAACCTCACTCCTCACAGCTGTATGTGAAGGTAGTCCAAGGTTACGCTGTTGGAGGTGGCTCAGAGGACATAATTAAAACTAATTTATTGCCATCCTCTGTGTGGCAGTTGCCTAAGCTCTGTGCCATTTTGTGGGAGTTTGTTGTGCCCTCGGATCAGTGGCAGAATGCTATTTCACCAGTTTACAGACACTAATCATGCTCTGTGTTGTGTTAGAGTGTGTTACAGAAAATACTCAGCGGTTCTCCTGGCCCCGCAGCAAATAAATTACTGTGTGCACGTCCAAGTGCGGTGATTCCTTGGGCTGCCAGTCCTGTGTATTCTCCAGGCTTAATATTAACACTGAGTAAATGCTGACAGTAAGGCCAGGTGCAAATAAAAGTATCTCCATAGCAAAACTCTGGTGATCTTTCAAATGCTCCCAACCATGCACAGGAGTCACAGAAGTCATAAAATCGGTCCAGGATGTTGATTCCTTCTTCTGCTTTTGTGTTTACTCCTGTGATCTGGACTGCATTACATGCCATCTCATAGACAAAATAAATGGCTGTGTCTCCCACACAGACATAATTGAGTGGTCAGGGAAGCTGAGCTACCCTCTCCTCTCCGTAAACTCACTGAGATTATTTCAAGCGTCCACTTTTCCCAGGTGCTGCCCTGCTCCGTGGGAAGGAATTACCATTACAAACAACCTCCTATTCTGCAAAAGAGACATATTTGATTAGAGATAGAATTTTCCACAAGACCGGGATGAAGCCTGGAGAAAAGGAGTATGCCTGGGGTCAAATGAGATTAATTTGTATTTCTGTCACATGAATTCCTCTCCACAAAGACTTCTCATTTCCCTTGTTTCCTGCAAAAATCCTCACATTTTGTGCCTGTCCTCATTAGCGTGCGTCCACCTGCTCTGTTTAAAACCAGCTGCCCAGACAGATAATTAAAGCTGTGAGCTGGATAGTGGCTTCCCATCACTCAGCTCCTGTCAATGTTCCCCTGCTGCAGTAGTAGCTCTGACAATTGCAAGGAAACATGAGTGTTATTTCCCCTGAGGGACCCTCTACTCGTACCCTCTGAGTCACTCGTTGCCACACTTTTTCCCCTAGTTCTGTGTTTGGGAGAAATGCTGGCACCCAGCTGTTATTACTGGGAGGACAACTACCTGAAATCTGGGATGCTGGAGCATATCCCAAGAAGAGCAGGAGGGAAATGGGACCTTGGGTCCACCGGAGTCTCCCCTACCCCACTGTGGGGATGAGGCCATCACATTTCTGATTTTGGGACCAGGAGAGTCCTACATGGCTGCATCTTTGTCTTCTCACTAGCAGGGCAAGAGGAAGGGGCTCCTGTCTAGACCCCCCCCTAGTTGTGTATTTTTCTTTGCTTCTTCTTGTTCAAAAACTCTTCCTATCATTTGGGCATTTGGGTTAAACCAGGTGGCTGCTCAAAAAACTTTCACAGCTGCTTCATGCGAACATCACCAAGGGGTCTCATGGCTGCCGGGGCTTCCTGCCCGCTGAACGCGTGGGTGGGGCTGGCTGGGAATCAAAATGAATCCTCAGATTTTGCAGGAGGCTGAAAAAAGGATATGTCACATTAAGGCAGATGTGGACATCTACAGAAAAATGTAAATATATTTACAAAAATTACATCTAGAAATGTATCTGCCAAGTATCTCTTGTTTCTGTTAAACCTCACTCCTGAACACCTTTGATTTTTCCTACTGGGACCTATTGTGGCAGGAGGGTACTGACTTTGTGTGTGTGACTGCACCCATTTCTGCAGGGACTGATTTTGAGACAGTTTCAGTGTTGGTGCTGGCATACCTTTGCCAGTTAGCTCCAGGATGAATGAGTTAATCGGTGTTTGGGCTGGATGAGATCCTACTTTCATTTTTTGGTTAGATGCCTAATATAAAAAAGTAAAGAAACCTATTAGTCAGAATTGTACGTAACAGCTCAGATTATATCTGAGAAAGGCAAAACCCACTAAGTGATGCCTCTTTTATTGATTTAATTGAAGTAATTCAGAAAATGTTATGTATTCTCTAATGTGTTTTAATGGTTAGATAGATACGGATGATGCTAATATTTTTCTCATTTTCTCTGATACATGCAAATGCTATTACTACATAGCTTTACTTTTCTGATTTTATATAGGAAGACCTCAATATTCAAGCTAGATTCCATTCTGACCTGCTCTTATTTATTCACAAGGCAACGTGTCAGGATGGCAATATGAAGAAAGGAAAGCAGTTTGCATGGAAAATTATTCCATGAATAGGTTCATCTGCACTACAATGATGGTGTTTCATATAAAGGAAAATCAAACAGTCCTTCCTAAGTACCTACAGTCCTGCTTTTTTGGTCTTAGGCATAAGCCCCAGCAGATTTTACAGCTGAGGTCTACAGCTGCAAAATGGGATGCTCGCCTGGAAAATATGGGATGGTGGCTGCAAAGCAGTAGCTCCCCATCTCACATCAGAGTCTCCATCTACCTCAGCGAGATGAAAGGTTCGAGGGTGTCACTTTTCGTAAGCACCCCAAGAGTCCGAGCATCCGCTGCCTTCAGCGGCCAGTGCCTGCAGGAAGCTTTACAGGATGAGCGGCAGCAATGTCATTTACCAATACAAACAGATAACTTTAAAAGTCAGTGTTTCTGCTGACAGATGCTCTTTATACAGGAGTTTATGCCGCTGCATTCACACCACATCTGTAGCGTTCTGGGGGAAGACCTGCCCTAAAAATGCAATGCACTGTGGAAACACACCCTCTTTCCTATGCCAGAGTAAAACTCTGGCCAGCCCAAGGTAGAACACAGAGTTGCCTCAGGGAACTTAAAAGCTGGCTTTCAAGCTTTCTGAAGACCTGCTGATGGCATTTTCTGCGCCTGCAGAAATGCTGCTGGGAAGAGATGTGCAAGATGCTGGGCTCCACTCTTCGGGGTCCCGTCCACTCCTGCTGGGTGGGACTCAAGAAGCTGGGACTTGCAACAGAGCCCCATGTTCCCTGTAAGCAGGACATCAGCCTGCAATGTCTTACTGGTCTTACTGGTCAGCAAGAGGAATTGTTTCTTGTCCACAAGGGCAGTGCAAACACGGTTTCGCACCTCCCCACCACAGTAAACACTTTCCCAGAGAACCCACAGCCTGTGCCATGTGGAGAAGGTGTGAGGAAGGGATCAGCAACAAAGGGAAGGGAGGGAATCACTCATTTGTAGCCATGTAATTGTTATTTTTAAATAAATAGAGCTTTTGAAAATGTGATTAAGCAAACAAGGGAATAAAGTAAAAATCTGACTTGCTAATAAAAATAAAAAGTGCTTGTAATGATATCATGTTGAGGGATAAACTAATTCAGTCCTAGCAGTTTTCTTTTCATAATTTTGATGCTCTGTAATAACCACAGATAAGAAAATAATAATAATAATGAAAAAAAATCACCCATTTTAATCAGCCCAGACTAGCGAGCCTTGGGGTGTATTTCAATCGGCCCCATGTGCAGGACGCCTGAGGCAATTCTCCTGCTTAATAGGCATTTTCCACAGCACACTGTGAAATGATAATGCTAATTATCATGAAGATAGGTTTAAAACCCTCCATCTAGGGCACCACACCTTGAAATCATGTGGAATTCATCATCGGCATTAACCCTTGCCGCTTAGGGTTGCTAATGACTCGTGGAGCTCCCCCCATCCCTCCCCACTACCGACAGTGCTCCGGTGCTCACCTGATGGTAAATCGCCTCCCAGTTCTCCCGCAGTGCTCCCCAGTTGCCCACACTGGCTGCTTTCTTATCCAGGTAGACTCTGATGTGCTCCTCCAGCTCCTGGTTGACCTGCTCGAGAGCTCGCACCTTCTCGATGTACTCCACCAAGCAGCTGTTCAGGCTCTCATAGGAGAGAGCCCTGCCCTTCTCCAGCCCCGGGGCCAGGGGCACGGCGGCGGAGGAGCTGCGCAGACCCTGGAGGAAGACGCTGCTGATGCCCAGGGCTCTGCGGGACACGCGGGTGCCCAGACTGCTCACTCCGCCAGTGGGGACGGTGCCCACATAGACGCCAGGGGGTCTCGACAGGCTCCCGCCACCCCCGACGCTCACCCGGCGGCTGGGTGACCCCGAGCTCTCAGCCGGGGAGGAAGAGGGCTGCTGCCCCAAGAAGGATGACCGGCGCCTTGGCAAGGGCATGCTGCTGCTCAGCCCGGCCGCCTCGCCCCGCACTGGCGGCAGGGATGTGCCGAGTCCAGCAGGTTGGGGCTCGCACGGGGTTTCGGCTTTGCGCGACGGCTTTCTGGAAGGGCAGCTTTGTGCTGCCCGGGAGCGCCCGTCACATTGTCTGGGCGGCCGCTGGGTCAGCAATCCCATTTCAAGGGAAATCTCCCTGCTGCTGCTGCTGCAAATGTGGCAGATGAAAAGCACAATGGTGTTTACAGGGACAGCGGGACGGGGATTCAGTACAACCTACGTGTTAAAATACCAGCGGTGTTTTCTACGCTGACACCCAGATGATTTCCTACCCTTAGACCCACAGGTATCTAGACATATACGACAAAAGCATTGACTGCTTGCACCTATACTTGCTCCAGACAGAGTCTCCTGCAGCAAGACATTACCTAAAGTTACCAACACTCAAACTTTTGAGGAGCCAGCAGAGCCACGGCCGAGCCAGGCCAAGCCAGCCTTTTGCTGCTGCAGAGCCTCGAACACTCCCTCGGCCCTGCTGCAGCTTCTGGATTTCTCTGCGCTTTGGCTTCACCACCCGACCAAGGCACGTTGCCCCAAACCCAGCAGATTTTAACTAGGGACAAGCACCCTCACATCTACCCCTGCTCAGTTGGTTTAACATCACGTTATGAACTGCACTTGGTCTGTTCAACAAGGGCCCGTTTCACTTTGACTGCAAAACATGGCAACAAAGCCAGTTATAGAATCATAGAATGCTGTGAGTTGGAAGGGACCCACAAGGATAATCAGTCCAACTCTTGCCCAAGCATAGGACAGTCGCAAGATTCAGACCATGTGTCTGAGGGCACATGTTATCCAAATGTTTCTTGAATATTGTCAGGCTTGGTGCCGTGACCACCTCCCTGGGGAGCCTGTTCCAGTGCTCCACCACCCTCTGGGTGAAGAACCTTTTCCTCATGGTCAACCTCACCCTCCCCGGCACATTTTCCTGCTGTTTCCCCTGCTCCTATCATTGGTCACAAGAGAGAAGAGATCAGCACCTGCCCTTCCTCTTCCCCTTGTGAGGAAGTTATAGGCTGTGATGAGATCTCCTCTGAGTCTCCTCTTGTCCAGGCGGAACAATCCAAGTGACTTCAGCCTCTCCTCATATGGCTTCCCCTCTAAGCCCTTCACCAATTTGGTGTCCCTCCTCTGGACACTCTCCAGTAGCTTTAGATCCTTTTTATACTGTGGTGCCCAAAACTGCACCCAGTACTCGAGGTGAGGCCACATCAGTGCAGAGTAGAGTGGGACGATCACCTCCCTGGACCGGCTCACAATGCAGTGCTGGATGCTGGATGCACCCCAAACTGAGGCAACCATGGACTGAAAGAAAAGGGCAAAACAATCCCTGACACTTACTGCAGGGGACGGGGGAGTTTTCTCCTGCTCTTCTTTTTATGTCACTTCTCTTTAGCAACTAGTGATCAGGTGGGTAGTTTACAGGTAGATAAGTAGGACATGTCCATGGTACAGTGAGATCCTTCATGCACGGTGTTAGGGATAGCTTTTTCTGCCTACACACAGGGATGCTTCCCAGCCAGGATGCCAGACTTGTTCCAGTGCAGGATTACCATGTGCGCATCTTTGTAGGCATGCCTGTAATGTGCTGATGCTGGGCATTGCCCTAATGTGCTCTAGGTCTGTACAGGGGCGGCGGTGTCTTTGGTGAGATGGAACACAATCAGAAACTCCCATCTTCCAGGGGTGCCTAATCCTGGCTTGCCGTGTTGGTGGCTGGAGTTTATATTTCACTTGTTTTTTAAGTTTGAGAACTGCGAGGCTGCCTACAGTCAGGTCACCATTTCCCAGCTGTGTGGCCTGGGAACAGCACAGCATCTCACAGCTTTGCAAATATTTTTGGCCAGTTTCTAGGCATTCTGCATTTAGATTACTAAGCAAACTGTGCTGGCTAAATAAGAGGAATCCTCCAGTATTTCTTACACAACATTTTCACTGTATTTGCTCTGTGTCAAATTAAAAAAAGAAAAATAAAAAAAAATAAAAGTCTGCCTTGCAAAAGCAATACTGTGTACAGAAAACAAATGTAAAAATACGGCCTTTTTGCAAAGAACTGAATTTAGTTTTCTGTTACCTTGTTCTTTCTTTCCACCTCCCTGTTGAAATAGGAAATGAAGGTCCTCATGGAATTATTTTTGCTTTTGGCAAGACTCTCAGGAAGTTTTTACTCTATAAACAACCAGTGATTTCCAGGAGGTTGTTTACTATTTGATCATGAGGACTGCAGATATTATATTGCGCAGTGTTTACCCCACAGTGAAAAGATGTGTTCCCAAAGTGCCCACCAATGTCTGCACACAGCCATGTCTTCCTGCCTGCCCTGGTCACCACATAGGGAAGCGGTGCAATCCTCTCTGCTTCTGAGCAGAAAAACAAGTAACTAGAAGAGACCCTATAACACTACAATTTTCTAATTTTAGGAAGCCCATGGCCCACATTCATATTTGTGCCTCAGCACAGTAGAAGCCCTTGTGTGGGACAGGGAGAAAGGACGGTTGGACTCAATGACCCTAAAGGTCTTTTCCAACCAAAATGATTCTATGAGGGGTGACAATGCCTCTGTGGCACCCACATCCCGGGGAGAGCCTTGTCTTGGTCTGATTTCAGCCATCGTTTAGGAAAGTTGTCAGGTTGCTCTGACTAACTGCAGCCACCAGGACACTGCCGGCAGGTGGGAACAGCTGGACCAGATGTGCCACCGCTATAATTCCCTTTTCTGGTACCAGCTGTGGCTCACCTTGAACAGGCATATGGTTACTGATGCTAGGCTAGCCCTGTCCTGCCTCAGCTTCTTTTTTAATGCAACCCAGTGATTAACCTGAGCAACCAGTGGCAGGGAGCAGCCAGCTGGAGCTGGGGATAAACTCCCTGCTGCCTTACAGCCTGCTCTTGATGAAGTGAGGAGTGAAGGTAGAAAATAATCTACAAGAACTGATGGGGAGAGGTGGGGAGAGGATGGTTGAGACCTCAAAGGACAGAGGCCATTTCACTAGTCAAACCATACACAAAAAGGGCAATTTGAGAAGCAAAATTGAAAATCGTTCCCACTGTAACAGTTGTGGGTTGCTCAAAGTGGGTTGCATCAACTTAGGCAAAGTCATTCCATGTTCCATGTTGGCCTCTCCTTGTAACAACCTATTTTTAATCCATCATTTAAGCTTCGTTCACCCCTACTTCCCCTCGCAGTATTACAGCCTGCAATCTAGCGCTTAGCTGGGTAGGACTGAAATGCCATTTTGCTCTGAAACACTGCTTTTTCGTTCCTAAGGGGGGAAGGAAAGTCTCACAGAGGAGAAGGGAGGTATGGGGAAATTAGATTCAATGGCACTAGCAGTCTAAGCATAAAAGATAAATAAAAGAGTGGGGAAGTGGAAATGCAGTCAAAGCCACAGCATTCAACTGGTGGGAGTCCTTAGTCACCAGATTTCAAGATTTCTGATAAATTCAAAGGAGATTTCTGTTCCTTTGCAGGGGACACTCTATGTGCCTTCTTTTGAGGCTGTTTGGTCTGCAGGAAATAATCCAGGACTCATTGGGCCAGAGTGGAGCAGCTGTGATTCCAACATGTAGTGTGGTTAGGACATTTATGCAGGAAAAAAAATGACATTCTTGTCCTTGCTCATATAAAGCAGTTTTGGAGCTCAAACTGGGACTTGGCTCTCCTGTTTAAGTCTGAAGAAGATAACATAAAAAAAGTCATAGGGCAAGATTACTACCCCAAAACATTAGCCCATGTCTTGCATGGTCCTGGGTCTTATGAGGGCATCAGCTTTGTTTATAATCCTACTGTAGCCCAGCTCCCCTGCCCTCCCTGTGCTGAGCTGGCAGACCCTGGCTGGTTTCTACTGGAAGGGGGACTCTGAAGGGCTCATCCCAGCTGGTGCTCAGGTAATGCTGGAGTCATACAAAGGATACAAGACTGGCAGACGAGCCATGCAGACTGCTTCTGGCAGCTGAGCTGGTCCTGTCTGGTTTGTAGTCTAGCTTGGCAGTCTAAAGGAAAGGAGTGACCAAAGTCACTTTACAGTAAGAGAAGGGATGGTCACTGAGCAGCAGTGCTCATGGCCAGGCTGAGTGATGTCATGTAGGATGCAGGATGTTGTACCCAACACAATCTGCCTGCACCAAAACCAGCCTTACCCAATATTCTTCCAGACTAAATACATTTAGCAGCAGATTGTAAATGACAGTGAAGAAAACAGTCCATCTGACAGGTGTTTTGCTTAGAAATACTTTTATTTTATAAAGCCACAGTTTGTTCTGTAAAGTTTTACCACACTTATAAAAAAGGGGCTGACAATTCTGAGGGAGAAAAGAAAAGCTGAAAACATTTCTTGTAATTCAGGGTTACACAAAGGTTATATTTATAATATATATATTTATTTATAATTTGGAGACAGTAGAGATGAAACTGCAATACCTGGGCAGCTGTGGGGTCATATTTCAGAGACTTGCTCATGTCCTACAAATAGCGTTTCTTGACAGAAGGGGTTGACAAGGACCATCCCACTGTCACGGTAGTCACCATTGGCAGGGGAGCGTGGCTCGGAGAGGTGGTCCTAGGAGAAAGACAGAGAAGCAGGGTGAGCACTTCACATTCCTCACCCCCTGTGAGCATACAGGGCACTCTGCTACCCTGTGCACATGCATCTGAGGATGCTATTTTTATTGCTTCTCCCAATCCTCCAAAAATGCCCGAATTTTGGCAACTCTAGCTCCTGGAAAGCTAAGTTGGGTGAGCCAGTTTTGCCTTTTTTCAGGCAGTAGGAGCTGTGAGTGACGAGCTCCTCTGATAATCAGGCTGATTCCTTCTCAATCTGGGGACCCAGAAGTCAGATGCACCAAATTTCAGGTCCCTTAACAGAATTTGAGCTCTCACATTTTTTTTCTTTCACTTTCATGATGTATTGCAACAGTTTCCTGTTTATCAGCTGGGTTTGACTCCTCAAAGATGCATTTTCATCTTCTTTTTAAGGTCAGAAAACCGCGTACATAGTTCCAAGCTACTCAAGCACGTCCCAGTTCAGTCATGTTCTGATCAGGTTTAAATGACTCAGATCACAGCTTTTGGAGACCATTCTATATGTGAATAGGCCTATCATTCAGTTCTTGGTAAGTCTAGACCAGGTTTTGCCTTAGCTCGAGCAACATGATTGTCAGCAAAGTGGGGTTAACAAAGTGTCTGTGAGTACTTGTCTAGTCACGTCTCAGAGGTTTCTTTCTAAACATGTTTTTATTTAATGTGTCAGTCAGCTAGATGATCTGAAAACCACTTTAGTATAAACCCAAACTGTCCACTGTTTCAAGGTTTTCAATACCTTTGAACTAAGGTAAATTATTCTTCTCTATCTCTGAGGCCAGAGAACATGGTTCTATCTCTAGGATCACCTGCCCATATATGAATAATCCTACTGAACCAGTCAGATCCCTTAAGTAAAGGCTGTTGAGTATACACCACCACTACACACTGTCATATATTGATGTTTGGTTTGCTTATATACTGGGAACACTCACTCCCTGAACCGGTATTTGAGAAGCTATAGGCAGCTCCTGAGACATAAATGCAAATGATTCCTTTGCATTATTAGCTCCCACGACCCCCCTTCATATGACGCTGTGTGAGACATGCACAATAGAGAGATTACAAAGACTGACTGTCAGTGACAAGCCAGTCCAAAGAGCTCCCCTAAGCAGTTGTGGTATGGGTAGACACTGGCCATAGGCTCAAAACCTGGGAACAAATTCACCTAGAGGTGGTTAACTCCCATGACCACACAGCAACATGGAACATCTCTGCAAAGCCTGGGAATAGAATGGCAATCTGGTTTTGGTGACATATTTATCCCATTTTATACATGTGTAGAGGTGAGTCATTCTCAAAAAGCTGTTTCCCTGAATATACATGGGGATTTCAAGGCTTTATTAATATGACTTCCTCTCCCTTTCCCCCAGCACAGCTTCAGCTACAGTTTTCAGACACTAGTTCTGCAAGTGAGGTACCTCTGAAGTCTCCAGAGACTGGATCTCTCTTGGTAACTCTACAGCGTGCCTGTTGAAGTAGTCCATGGTGATAGCATTATTCCAATAGCTCAGGTTGTTTTCTGGGTTGGATGTCTTTTTCTTCCTCCTCATGCAGCAGACTGTCAGCAGAACTGCTGTCAATAGAAACACGCCAGAAAATTGGTTATTTCCATTCAATAAGGATTCATCAGTACCAGGGATTTGTTTTTTACATTGCTTAAGGACAGGGCTGGTGACCTTCGTTCATACGATTCACTCTCAGTCAAATCTAGCTCTCGCCTAACAAACTCTACACAATTAAGTCAGAATCTGGGCCAAGCAGATGAGGCAGGATGTGGGATCTACTGATAAGCATAATCCCTTCCCCACACTTGCCAGGGCACTGGTGATGTCTGAGCCTGGCTTTTTTTCTTATCTGTGGAGCACACTTAAGCTTCTGCAATCTGAAATTTTTGAGCTTGAAGTAGAACAGTCAGGCAGGCTGGAGTGACCAGCAAGTGAAACTTGTTGATATAATTGTCTGTCTGATCTCAAAGCCACAGGCACCCCCCCGACTGCAGAAATGCCAGGATAACACCTTCCCAGCAGGCAGGCCGAACACAAAGCTGGTTGAGTGTTATTTTCTAGAATTGCTTTTGGTTTAGTCATCTCTGTTGCAATTCAGATGGGTAATCCTGGCAATTTTACGAAAGCCAGGCAAACCCACTGTAACGAACTTACTGCTCCCACTGGTCCTTGCTCAGGGAGAAGCTGAGGCATGTACAAGGGTTTGTTCAGAGGAGTAAGGCACAGGCTCTGTGGGCTTATCTTACACCTGTGGAATTAACTGGCCAGTTGTGCTTGTGATCTACCTGATTTATACAGACAGGTAGCTGGACATGTACTTACTTTGATTTGTACCTGTGAAATAGGGAATGCCCTGCTGTAAATTCACTCCATTGTTTCTAAACCCCTCATGGTAGAAAAGAAGAGAGAAAATATTCATGAAGCAGAAAAATATATTATTTTCTCAGCTAAAGCCAAAAATATTTATTAGAATTAAAGCCCAGAGGAAAGAAAAACCTGCAGAGAGGTCAAAGCTGCTTTGTATGTTTTGACAAACACTGCAGCTACCCATATGCCCTGGGTATAATTTCTTATCCCATCTACTTGCATAAAATGTCAATACAAAAGTGCAAGGCTAGAGCTCTATTTAAAACAAAAGAATAAGCTACTAAGAAAAAAAAAATAATGGGTTTGAGTTTAGGCAGTTTATGTCTCATTCAAAGGGAAAGGTGAGTTTGTGCTATAAATCTTCTTCTGAAACTAATGGAAAAATCTCCCGCATTGTTCCTGCTTGTTTCAGAAAAGCAGGTCATCGCCAAACTTACTATTATCTTTGACTCATATTGCTTCAGTTTTTCTATCACCAATAACTTCATTTGCTGACAGCCTGACAGCTGTGTCCATAGGCAGCAACCCGATGGCGCACCCAGTGCTGCTCTCCCTGCCTGGGGAAATACCCATCCTCCTGAAGGGCTGCATCTTTGCTCCCTGCTTTGCTGCTACCCTCTCCATGTCCCAGCAGGTAGAAAGTGAAGCAGAACCTACATTTAGTCCTCCCCACTGCTGGCGACAGCCAACAGACCTTGGAGTTTTTCCATACTCTAGCAACCAGTGCTCCCTAAGGCACAGAGCATTTTTGGAGGTGCCTGGTGATATGACAGCCCCAGTAAAGCCAACTCTATTGCTGTGCAAATATTTTGAAAGCCTGAGGTTTTACAGCTTATAAAATGTGGTGGCTGCTGACAGAGAAGTATTGGATGTGGGTTTTAGGGGCTGGAAAGCTGGTGATGCTGAGTCGGGAGAGATCTCTGCTTCTTCCAGCAGGATATGGCCTTGCCATGTGCGGTTATGTTTGCTATATAGCAATAATGCTCTCTCCCTTAATTACACTCTTGGCCTCCAACCTTAGTGCACACACAAGCCAATGAATGGAAGACTGTGGAAAAGGAGTTCCTGAGCTTCCTCAAATATGACATATTTTAGCAGAAGGCTGCCTACCTAAGCCACCCCAATTCAAAGGAGAGGAGACCTGATTTAAGAGGGAGAGAGAGGACAGCAGGGCTGCAATGGGGCTATTCACTCTTGATCTCATATTATAACTACCCTTTTGGGGCATATTTTAGTGAAATTAATGTAGCTAACAAAGGACTGCTCACTTCCAGACAATACTAGGAAAAAGGTACAGATTTACCGATATTCTTAGATATCTATTTGCTCCCATTATTAGAATTAAGTGTATTACAGAAAAAACTCTTTCCAGGCAGACAGTTGCAATGGCCAGTGAGGACTTATTAAGTGGATGAAATACACAGAGGGCAAAGATGGTCTGGAAGGGAAAAATGGCAATAATAACAACAACAGCAGAGCTGAAGAGAGAAACAGTAGCTGCAATACCCTGCTTATCTTTCCTGGTATATTATGTGATGTCCACGTAAGGACAAGAAAGTGCTGTTGTTCCATGCTGCCATGTATCACCTTTTTCAGAGATATTATGATACGTGTTAGGGAATATTGTGGGTCTCTGCAATTTTGTGGACACCGGAGTTTCAGGGAGTTCAGAAGCATTTCTAACTGGTATCCTTTGACCTGCTGCTAGTCTGGAGGGAGAAAAGTCAACTCACATGTTCAGGGGCTTCTGGCTCTGACACTTTGTAGCCCGAAGGCAAATTATGTCTGCATGATCTGTCCCCCCACCCACGAAACAGGACATAATACATCCCACAAATGGGAGAAATTAGATTCTTACAGATTTACAGGTTTCTAGGTTGGTGGGAACATGCCCATCATCTACTCTTACCTGCACAACACCTGCACACCAGGACACCTTGACCTATTGACTTAACCATAAGCTGTATTTAAGGTACAGTACATTTCTTACGAAAATACCCAGCTTCATTTAAGGACATGGAGTGACCAGATAGATATCCATCCCATTCCCATCAACTTTGTTTCAATGCTTAATTTCCACTGTAGGGACATGTTTACATTCCCCTTGTTGTTTAAATACCTCCAGTTTCAACAGCCACAGCTTCCTCAATCTCCTTTTGCCTTTTTTATAAAAAGCTTCTACTATGCTATCAGAAATGTTCCATATACATGTGGGCTTCAGCCTCTTCTTGGACTACATGATGACACAAGTGGAATTATTTTGCATTTCTCATCTCTTAAATCATTTGCATGGCTCTCTTCTAATCTTCCAATGTTTTTTTAAAAACACAAACCACCAGGATTATAAACCATATTCAATACTGGCCTCATAAATGCAGTGCAATGAGATCACACCAACTCCCTACAGTTTCCTGATAGCCTCAGCTGTGATACAGGTGGGTTTGGTTACTGATCATGGCTGCTTACATCTGGAGACAAGAGGCTCTTCTCCAGCTCAGCCTGAGCTCACACCTGGGGATTAGACTCAGGGCTTGGGATCTCTCTCCCTTCAGGTCAGGAAGCAAATGTTCATAGGTTTTGCGATGGAGAAAGTGGGTGAGATAATTTTGGAAAGTGTCCCAGTGCATGAAATGTGAGCGAAGTGGGGTTAGGTCCAAGGCAATTCTTCATATATTCTTTGAGTTCTGCTGACGCCTGCGCTTGGGGGCTCAGCCTTCCTCTCATGTTTTCCCGTGTCAGCAGAACTGTCTGAATGAATTGACTTCTGTGCATATGATTTGCAAGTTTCTGTTCTTCCATGTTTTATGGTGTCATTTCTGTAATTACAGAGACGTCAGTGCTGGGAGCCCAAGGACTAGGAAGGTGGGTTTTAAAATAAGTTAATGTTGTGTCTTGTTCTGCATTGCAAAGACAGGCACCCACATGTGTACAAATGCACATGCACAAAAATGGTCAAGGCTGCCTGAAGGACACCATAAAACATCTCAAAATGTGACATGTAGGAAATATTGATACCAGTGTTATATATGACTTTGCTTTTCTGGGAACACAACGATACAGAATCCTGCATTTTTGCAGCCCTGAAATAGCATTAGCAACATTGCTCCTGTTATTTATACCATGAAATTGAGGTAGCAAGAGGTGAAATGATTTCTCCAGGTTCACACAGCAGATGTGTCTTGTGTTCCTATTCATACCACTACTTTTCTGGCTAGCATTTTAAGGGATTTCAGTGGGACTCAGAAACCTATCCATCCTTAAAGAAATATGTACTGTCACGACGAGGAGGTTAAATTCCATCAGGAATCATTTCAGCAGGCCAGCTTTTGAGGTCCAGGTCTTCAGGATCTGCCAGTCCTCAGTGGGGCTGAGATGCCAGGGTACTGTGCTGCTGAACAAACCCTTTGCTGCTTCCTGCTCTTAGGTGCAAATCTCCACGGCAGGGATGGGCTAGTGAGAAGCCCTGGCAGGGTCTTTCCTCCATGAGAAATGCAGCATCCCAGGCATGTCTCAAGTCGGGATGAGGAGCCAAGGACTCTTCCTGTGGTGACTCCTAGCAGGTCACTTTCCCTGCTATGGAAGTTAAAACACCCACAGGTTTTCATTTAACAGGGGCCTGTCAACAAAAGGTGTGGCAGTGAGCAGCACACAGGCCTTACTGTGCCACACGTCGGAGAGGGACAGGCGTGCGTTTCCAGCATCATGGTGCATTTTCTCTTATGAGGATTTTGGGCAGCAGGAGCTGTGCCCAGAAGCCCCCTGAGAAGGCAGGGTTTTCCAGACTCTTTGCCACCCTTCGTGCTGGGGAGGGATTATGGGGAAAGGCACAAGGTCTCCTGGCAGAGATGTGCTGGCCACTGCACAGCTCTGCAAGGGCTCTGGGAAACGGCCAAGAGGTCAGCGAGCTGGCTCAGAGGCACTCCCCGTCAGCAGGAGGAGGCAGCCCTGTTAGCCAGCTTCCTGGGGCGCTGCAGCCGTGCACAGGCTCTGGTTGCATCTCCTCACCTCCCTCCCCTTCTTTCCAGGGTGTGTGAGTAACTTCCCTGCCTTGGAGCTGCCCCTCTCCCTGGTCCAGGGCCTCATCCTTTCTCAGAGGTGTAGCAGCAGCTCAGGGCTTGCTGTCCCCTTGGTGGGTCTGGCCAGCAGCACTGAGGGTGCCAGCCTGTGCGCAGAGCTGACAGGGGCAGCAATACCCTCCCAA